TTTAATATTAATATTTAAGAAGATGAATAATTAAAATTGATTGTAGATCGATATATACGAAAAGACGAATAATTAATATAAAATTGAAATTCATTTTAGTCTAATTCTTTGAAATAAAACTTTAATTACAATTTTTGGAAGATATATAACAAGCTCGTTCAAACAAAAAGAGAAATGCATCGATTAATCCTTTTCAACTTTCAAAATGTACATCTCTGCCAAGCAAAATTCCATTTACATCCTACCAATTTGAAAAGAAAAAAAAAAACAAGATCACAAAATTAACATCGGGAGGAAAAAATTCCATTCGATTAATTTTCCTCGATCATCAATCACCGTAGATTATTCCATTCCCGAACCATAAATTCGCGAGGGTATAATAAGATTCGAGAGTTAATTGAGCACGAGAAGGTGAATCGACGGTGGCTGGTGAATCGAGAATCCCGGACTGGTAATCTGGCCGGTAGCGCGGACGCGGCACACAGCGCCATGTTGGAGGCGAGTGTGGCGAGCGGCGCTCCTGATTGGCCGAGCGGCCATACCGTCTGCCTGTGGAAACGAGAGGGCGTCCCGGTGCTGGCAGTGTTCCACGCGGAAGGCGTCTCGACGCTAAAAACGGCACGCGTCGCGCGGTTATGGACTCGACCCCCTTTCCCGCCCCCCGCCAGACACGGCCACCAGAACCAGTTCACCGAATCGTGCAGACAGACGGCGCGTTTCAACCCCTTTCGAGCCGAGATACGCGGATATTTACATATTTTTAATTTATTTAAATTGGGATTTGAAATGGAAATTTGCATTGGCGAATGGGTCGGTTTTTAAAGTATTGTTATAGATAATTGTAAAAGATGATTCGTGTATAATAATATTTCGCTATTAAGTGGATATATTTTAGGATTAGTGAAAATTTGCTTGTTGGAATTAAACGTAGGAGATATGGGTATTTAGACGAATACGATATATTTTTTAACTTAGAATTAAAGGAAAAGTAGATATATCAGATATTGTTGGATCATTGCAAAGGATGATTTGATGAAGCATTGATGAAGATTCACATTAAATTTATAATTTTTAACTTTGTTAGAAAACATTTTGGAAAAAATAAATTCATCATTTAAAAAAATCTATCGAACATATATAAATCAATCAGTTACATTGAATTAAATTAATATGTCAAATTGCAATGAAAGGATTTTTATGGACAATATCTAATAAAATCACATCGAACAATAAGAAAGATAAGATTTTAAAAATAATGATAAATTAATAAATTATCCTACTACATACTTACATAACATGTAAGAAGCTCGAGCTCGTTGGAAACACGAAATGGGGTTTCGGAGACACAAAACATATTTCTCGGATGAATTAACATTCGAGTGTATTCGACCGAACCATTGCTGCTCGAACGATTCCGACTACGTATCAAGGATGTATCCTTAAGATTTATTGGAATAGGGTTGGGTCGGATAAATGAAACTTGAATGCTCTTCCAAGAGGCGGGGTATCTCTTCTTGGAGTGTAATTTCGCGAAAAACTTTTTTTTCACGATTCGAGTTTCGTAATCTCTCGTGAAGAAGGGTTTCCAAGCGACCGAGCTGCAACCCTTTTCTGCCGAGCTTTTAGTACTCTTGCCTGGCGTGAATTAAGACTGGCTCCTCGAGGATTGGGTTTTTTTTTTTTTTCTTCTTAATTATCTCGGCCACGTTATGTCTTCTTTTTCTTTTCTCCCGTGGTGGATTCAGTTCCCTTCGTTTTGGAATAATGAACGGCGTACAGCTGGAACTTATGATTAGATTAAACTTTTTTTTTAAGCGATATTTGATGAGAAATGATAATATCAATTTGTAAGTTTTTTTGGAAAAGGAAAATATTGTTTAAAATTACCTTGAGAATTTTCGGGACACCTTGTGTAATGATTATAATAATCCTATATGGAAAAAAGAAATAAAGAAAGATAATAAAGATAATGTTTTTCTTATATAGAATGTAATTGTATTTATATAAAAATATCAAAGTTAAGTGAAATATATAAATTTTAAGAGAAAAAAAATCAAATATCTATATTACTTTCTTATTAAATATACCTATTATTAAATATTATATTAGTATATTTTGGTAAATATTAATATTATAGTCATAAATTATATGTAAATGTACATATAATATATTAATTTTTAAATAAATATTATGACTTATATGTTTAAGTATTTATCGAAAAATCTTTCTATACATGTAAACCACTCTTACTCGAATAACGAGGCGATAAATATCGACCCATTACAGTGACAAGAGGTGTTATCGAAAACGTGCGTTTGAGAGCAATAAACTTTGAGGGTAATAAATTTCATTGTAATCCTTGGGTCAAGGTTAAGAGTCCTATATTTTTACCAGCCACTCGATAATTTTTAACTACCGTTATACGAGAGAAACTTCCTGTCTGCAGCTCGTGTCTTGAATTTTTTTCCAATATTTTGTATAACACAATCTTCGCAGCAACAATTCATTTTAACTACTTAAAATTAAACAAGCTCTTCAAACTTTCCAGTATATCTATATACATTTTTTTTAAAAATAATCTATACAATTTTCAAAGTAAATATAATAGAGAATAAATGTAATTAATTAATCCATAAGGATTAATTATATTATCACTTTAGAATAGACATATACAAATACAATGAAATTGAAAAAAAAATGAAAATTAATTTTAATTTCCATCAATGTTTCCCATAAAAATAATTATAACCTATATCTATTAACACTTGTAACCAACAATGTTTATCCTTGAAAATACTTGTCATTAGATACTCTTAAAAAAAAAAAATCCTATGCAAAATCTTCATTATTACCCTCCAATTACACATAAATAATCCTGTTCCAAAATCGACTCAACGTTCCTCTCATTTCACAATCATAGTGTAGCAAAAATGGCGCGTAACCGTGCAACTTTTAATTCGATTACACAGTAAGATGCGTGCTCACGTCTCTGTTGGACGGTGTAAACGGTAAATGGACGGTTCCATAGAAATGGCATAACCACCCCTCTGATACGCAAGAGCTTTCTCGTGTCCTGTGTGTCTCTCGTCACCCCTCGACCAATCTCCTCTGCACACACCGATGTATTTTTCACATGACCACCCTTCTGCGTCCACGATAATATCCCTCGTGACACGTCCTGCCCACATTTCGTCCAGCTTTGCCATTTCCATCTTCTCTTTCGTTCTCGAGGCGTTCTATTTATCAAACTGGAGAGAAGAAACTGAAAGGTGGGCCTTTTGTGCCGGATAAATGGCCAGGATTTGTGTATCGGCCGTTTGGATAAGATGTCCGACTTCTGGGAAAAGAGATTGTTTCATGGTTGTTTGTCGAGTTTCCCTTGTGTAGACGTGTGTTGAATAATCGTGACCAACCATAGATATTTCCACGACTGATTTTATCCTGGAAAAATAAAATTTGTTTTATTTCATGTAATGTTATTATTACATTTGATCAATTCTTAAAATATGTAGATCATATTGGATCATTATTGTGAATACAAGTATCAAGTTACTTTTCATGATTTAATTCTTTTTTTAAATTAATTAATTTCTTGTCTTTTCAATATAGAAAATTTGTTTATATTTTCAAAATACTTATAAAAGAATACATTTATTATTTTATTATTCTTACATGTACAATTTATGATAAAGAAATTTAATATTTTAATGAAAATTTAATCATAAAAATTAAGGGATTAAATTAATAAACTTGTTGCAACAATAAAGTTAAAAAATTTACAATTATATGAATTATAGATAGATAATAGAAAGAACTATTGTAAAAGTATTCTATAAATTTCTAAATCATGAATCATGTATCTATTATATTTTTATATCTTTCTTTTCTTTTCTCAAATTTATTTTTATTATATTTGAGATTAAATGATTGAAATCCATTTTATCATTATATCATTCTATCATCTCATTCATTAATAAATTTTGAATGATTATGTTTTTGGTTGGAGAATATTGCTACTTCCAAAAAGTATTTGTCTCTCTCTTACACACTTCCTCTTCCGTTTCAAACGGTGTTCAGCTTGCCATAAACACATCCCTGGAGATTTGACTTTAGTAGACGAGACACTTCCAGAGAACATTTTCACGTTTCCTACCTGCAGCCTCGATTTCTATATTTACGTTCACCACGACGAATCGAAATTCACGCCCATGATTGAATTTGCCTACCTGTAAAGGGATCTCTCGTGAATTCTCTGTGTGCATTTTGGATTCTAAATTTCGAGCGAGGAAATTTTTGAAAGAGGATTTCCTTAATTTAAAAATCGCTGCTATTTCCATAATTTTGAACGGAGAGATTTAAATTTCTGGAAAAGAATTTTTAATTAAGTCAGAAAAATACTTGTGAAAAAAATTGAAGAAAATTTCTAAAAGAAACAGTATGAATATATTTATTAATAACGATTCTTTTATATTTATTTCGCACTTAAATAAATGAATCTTAAGGAACGAGATACAATTGAGAAATCGTTATTTTAGCTGCTTTGGTTGAAAAGCGTTTGTGTTTAAGACTGAATTGAAAAAATTTTTAAAAGAGAATTTTCTTTCTTACTTGAATCATCGTTATTTTATATAATTGTTTTAATCAAAAATGATTCATATTATATTTCAACGAAGAAAATTTTACGAAATTTTTATATATATAATTATATTTGCTCATGTTAGCTCACGTATTAATAAAAAAAAAAGAAAAATGAAGAAAATTTTTAAAAGAAATTTTTCTTTCAGAAATAGCGTCAAAATGGCGGTCGTGTAGACTCTATTTAAGAACGGAAGCAAATTTTTGAAAATGTCGGGCTAAGCGGTACCCTATTATAGGTCCCGTTTAATGGTTGTACAAGATATCGAACTTTATACCTGGCGCGATATAAACTACAAAAACCTATAAAATCGAAGTATATCTACTTACAAGGTCGATAAGCATTCCCTTTCTTTCTGTTCCAGGCTGATGTTTTTCTTTGTAAACTTGTAAATAAAAGGCCTCAAAGTGTACGGCGCCGTGGAGAAAACGTTTCACCCGTTCGAGCTGTGCAGCAGGTCAGTTAATTTAAATTAAAATTAAATTCGAATCGATATAATTTAGAAATATATATATATATATATATATATATATAGACATATATTGAATTTTGAAATTTTTACTTTGAAAAAAACAATACAAAATATTTAAAAATTTTATTTTTATTTATATTATTATATAGAACATTTCGCATTTATCGAATCTTTTACTCGATCTAAGTTCTAAAATTTAGAGACACGTGTACGATTTAACTAAATTAACAACAATCTCACCTTCTCATAAAACTACAAGATTATTGAGGTGTAGGTACTGTTTTCGCAATTTGTGGTAAGAAAACGATGCGGACAATGCATCTAAGACGAAAATAGCGTGGGAGTTGCGTTATGTGGCAATCGATACATGCGACAAGACGTTTATGAAACCCTTTCGATGCGACATATCACTGTTTCACTATATTCGCTAATGTTTCAGGCTTTCCCGCGTGTTCCAGCCGGGAACACTGGCCGGTATACAAGGTGAGTTGCGCACGAGCCCATTTCTGCATTTTCTTCGGCTTATCGTCGCAAATCAGTGTCTCTCAACCTTTTTGAAATATTGCGAATTCCTTTTCGGAATGTTCAAATAACATGTTACAAATATTCTTTTTCATATAAGGTAAGAAAAACTTTGATTTTTTTTATTCCATCGAATGATTTTTCAATATTCTTTGAATTGCGAATTTTCTTTCGAAATATTCAAATAATTTAGAACCTTTCTTTTTCATAGAAGATAAATATTAAAATTAGCTGTTTTGATTATAGATATGATACTATACTATTAGTTAAGTAAAATATTGCAATGTAATTACATTAAAATAAACAAATTTCAAAATTCACAGGTTGGGAATCACTGATTTAAATAAAATCATTATCACGCCCACGATGCCCACATTCTACAAACATTTCTATTCCACAAAGTATCGATCTTTGAAATTTATTTTATTATACATGTAAACGAGTGTTACACTTGGAAAATGTCTACGAACAATGACACTTGGCAATCAACTATTTTTATCAACCGATTCGCAATACACCTCAAAATACAAACAGCATTGCAAATGGAAAACAGTTATCTGTAAAAAAAATGAAGAACAAGAGGAAGACACATCATCCATTGTTAAAATAATCCCGATAGATGTCTCTTTGAGACAAGACGAGTTAATTCGTGTGTCATGGCCGACCTCGAAATGTCGAGCTAAAAAGTCGGCACGATAACGATACGTACTTGCCGTAAACAGAGGATTGTATACAACTGCGTCGCACTAAACCCATAGCCACTAAACCGCGCATACTACCTATAAATGGGCGAGGTTGCTATAAAGCCCATTCATGATCGCGTCTCCTGTACAACAAACGTCAGGTGGTTCACGCCTCCCCCGCGATTTATCGCACACTCTTGTTCAAACGAGAGTCTCGTGCTTCGTATTTCCCAACCACGATGAGACAAGACTTAAATGATAACAGATGTAGATATGTAGATAGTAGATTGGTATTTTTTTCAATAAGATTTAATGTAGTGAAAATTGAGAGGTTAGATACTTAATTACATCATTGTTATACCGATTTTGTAAAAAAATGAGATTTTAAAATGAGATTTTCTCATTTTGATTGAGATATTTCATATGATTTTGAATAGCATTGTGAAATCGAATTCTTATAAAATATTCTTATTTTTTAATAACGTATCATGAACATATTAGTATGATTATTAAAAGAATTTTAATTATTTGATTATATTGATAATGATCTTTTATGTAAAATCATAATTTTTTATGTAGAAGAGCATTATATTCAATATAACAGTTGATGTTTTATTAATGTATGTATCAGACTTATTATTAGTTAACTGAAATTTTATATTATGTATTTTACATTTTTAAAATTAGAATAGCATGTAAGTATCTATCTACTATGTGAAAATCAAAAAATAGAAAAAACCAGAAATTATTAATTTTCTTGTTCAATTTAGTAAATATTAGAATGAAATAAATATTGCACATCTTTTAAAAATAAGTGTAAAATATTTAAATTATTCATTATATGTTTAGCTATATATTTCTCTGTAAATAGATTTTCAATTATTGAAGTTTAAAAATTAAACTCAAAAATATTCCAAATAATGCATATATTTTGATATAATAAATTTGTTAGTAAATCTATTCATAATTGAAACAATTTCTTAAATATTAAACATAAAATTAGACTGAATAATAAATATTAACCGATATAATAAATTTATTCTGATATAATAAATTTCTAAAAGTCAAGTTTTCAAATTTGAATAATACAGATAAACTTTAATATAATAAATTTGTCAATAGATTTAATAATCAACTTCATATGAAACATTTATGAAATAATTTCATAAAACTAACTGGATAAAATTAAAAATTAAAATTAGATTGAATAATGTAAATCAGTTTAAATATAATAAATGTTGATAGATTCAAGAAACAAATAAAATAGTTTTAATAAAAATTAATTGAAAAATAGATTAATAGAAAATTAATACAGATTAACTCTGACAATAAATTTGTTAATAGAACTAATAGCCAATTAAAATAAGAATCAAGTTCAAAAGTAAAACTAAAAATATAGATCATCTTTGATAGAAGATTCAAAAATCAATCTTAAAAATAGTTTGAATAATATAAATCAATTGTGACAACAAATTTGTTGATAACCTATAAAAATAATTTCCTAAAAAAATAATCTGAATAAAAATTACCTTTAACATAATAAATTTACTAATCAACTATTTAATAATTTCGTAAAAATCAAGTACAAAATCAAACTGAATAATACAAACCTTTCATGTAATAGATTTGCTAGCAGTCAATTGAGACAATTTCGTAATTTCCTAGTCAATTAATTGACACATGGTCTCGCGCGTGGCGCGCTCTAGTGGCGCGAGAGTTTGATGGACAGATGGAACGCGTATGTGCCACCGGAGTTGTTGTCAGACCGTTTTACTTTACTGCCCCATAAAAGTACCGAGATTTAGACTGCAATACTGCCGTGACGTATTGTCGGCACTCGTCCGTGCGTGCACATGCACGCTATGCGCCATCGTGTACGTGGATTCACGCACCGGCGTGAGATTGTGGCAGTCGCGAGACATCATCCATTCCTCCTTTTGCGTGTGACGTCACTCGTGTAAAATACGTAGCAAGAGAACGGTCGAGGACTCAAGTCGTTTATTCGCGGCCGACTCCTTGAATCAGTTCGCAGTATAGTCGTGTCAATGGAAATGTGCCTCGAATGGATAATGTGGCTATTAGGACGATTGCTTTCACTGTATGTTGAATTGTTTCGGTGTTTGATGGTTATGAGCCCTTTATGGCCTTCGATTCAACGTTATTTTCATTTTCTCGAGTCTTACTACAATGTTAACATTTCTTGTTTTATTTTTAAACATGTTGGAATAATAAACAGATTTGCAAGAATTATTGAATTGTCACGATTTAGAATTATTGATAAGAAATTTATTGGAACATAGAATTTTCTATTTTGGAGATTAGATCAGTTTATATTTTATTATTATAATACTACATATATCGTTCAAAGAAAAATTTGTCTAAAAGAGGTTAGTATTTGATATTGTACGTTTAAGAATAAAATCTAAACTATATAAGTACGAGGCATCTATTGATTATCTTTAATAATAATTGAACAATTAGAATATTTTCAACAATTAACCGATATTGAACTAAACACAAAAAATTTAACAACGATAAAGATTGGTCGTTACTCCACAAGATAATAAGTATTGTAAAAAACGTAGTATTGGAATTTACGAATTGATAAAATCGTATGGTAAAATAATATTTTTTTCTCATTGCTTCTTAAAATATTTTAAAAAAATTGAGAAAAATAAAATTCATTATGTCAACAGGCATCTAAAATGTACGTACGCGAAATATTGTAATGGCGCGAAAACTTACATAGGCAAGGGATTTATCATAAGCAAGGAAAAAGAATATAATAGTCGAAGAAATCTGCAGTTCGTCAATCAGATCAGAATTCGGGTCACAGTCGTTTTTCTTTTATTTTTTTCTAGCCGAATCAAGAAAAATGTTAGAAGTTTGAGACGCGGCGTGTTGACGAGCCCTCGGCGCGCGATATTCAGGCTTTCGTGAAGGCTGTGTGTATATGCGTGTGTATATCCGTATTTCGTTGTGTCGCTGGTTCACGCGCGACGAAGAGAAGGGAGAAAGATAGATTAGAGGTTGATAGGCGAGGGTAGGAAAGGGGTACGGGGAATAACGGCGCGGCAGCGCGCGAAGTGGAAGGGGGAAGAGGGAGACGTGTCCGTCCAGAGTTTGGTTGTCAAACGATCCGATAGATCGCGCTCGCATCGCAGTTTAGCCCGTTTGCGCGTCGAGCCGCGGGCAGAGCTCTCAGTTGACGCTCAGTTCGGCTCAGCGAGGCCAGAGAGAAGAAAGGGAGTCTTTTCGTGTGTGTAAACACCGCGCGTGTGTGTTCGCACCAGTCACAGTTCCATGGGGACCGTGCAGCTGAGGAACCTATAACCTGCGTGCTCTCCGTTATATCCGAATCCAGGGGTCTACTACCTGACTTTCCGAGACAAAAAGGAAAAAAAAAGTGACAAAAGAAATAGCATTCGGTCCGACCACGAACACTCCGTTTCTCCTGACTGTGGCGATCCTTGACGCGAATTTGTCTATTGAAGTTTCTTCGGTTCGAATCACGCGTCTGTCTAGTCTAATACGGGCAGATTGAAACGAAGAAATATTTGTTAGGAGGAATAAGGTAAAATAAGATAGAAAAAAGAAAGTGACTGGTGAGGAAGAAGTGCGCGCTCGAGTTGACGTGTGTGCATTCGAAGTAATGAGCAAGGTGACAGTTTCCTTTGAGGAGACGACATGCAGCTCGAGCATGGCCTGGATCGGGACGACGATAACAAGATTGGTCGAGCAGTGAGAGAGACGTGCTCGTACCATTGTTTGACGTGCTCATCGATTCACTTTTCGTGGAAATTACGATTGCCAAGTGTCCTTTTGACATGTTCCAAGAGTGTACTATTTGTTGATCGTTTCGAGCATTTATTGTCGCCGGTGACGTTCGACGATCGCCAAGTTCCGTCGAACGCGCGAAACGACATCGACCGATCCGAACAATAGAATAAAAACTGTTGTTTCACATTCATTACGAATATATCTAATACGAATAGTTAATCCAACAATTCTTTACAATCAGATATCTGTCAACGTACATTTTTAAAGAAGTGCTGTGTCAATTTTTTTGTTTTCGTTCATTCCAACATCGCGCTTTTCGCATCGTATCTTAATTACCGGTCACCGTCATTGCTGTTCGACCACCTGGATTGCCTGGACATCATCATTGGGATTCCATTGACGGTGTGACTGGATTCTCATCGACGACGTGTTCGCACGTGGTTACTTGTCGCCCATCAACCTCAATCGCAACCTCGGTCGTCGTCTCGGACGCGTTGTCGCGGTGGTGGTGGTGGTGCTGGTGCATGGACCTCTTCTCGACGGATTTGCTACGCATTTTATCGCGCCCCTGGGCGTCTTCGTCTCCCTCTCTGTCTATTCCTGGTCTCGCTCTATAACGTATTTCCATCCTTCTTCGATATTCCGTTTGCTCTCTCTCTCTCTCTCTCTCTCTCTCTCTCTCTCTCTCTCTCTCTCTCTCTCGCTCGCCTTCTGGATCACCGTGTGTCGTCTCTCCCTCCATCCCACGCTTACCTACCCCTCCACCTGTCTGCCGCGCTGCTGCACACCCTCTCCTCTCTCCGCCAACCCTCCGCTCGCACGATCACCGTACACCCGTACAATTTTCTTTATCCCCACCTATTCGCGTGCGCCTTCTCTGCCTTCCGCACGCGTTTTCTTTATTTATTCCGCGATTCCACGGAGCAACGCGGTTACTTTCGCACACGATGAAACTTGCTCTTCCGTCCTCGCCTTTTTGAAATCTCACGCGCTTCGCGCAACGACCATTGGCCATCGCCGCCGATCTCCACGCTCGACGGGACCGTTCCCGTAAAATCGACGATAATAACTACCGCTCCGCTCGCCCCCACCCTCCATCATCCTCATCCCTTTTCTTTTCCTCGCCTCCTACTCCCCATCCCCCTCCTCCACCACCTGCGCTCCTCTCTCACCGCGTACGGTGACTCGTTCGCCCGGTCTAACGTTACTCGGTGCGTTACATCGCCGCCTTGCCCGTCCTTGGATCGTATGCGCGTGTCGTAAATGCAACCGCGCGAAATGACGATGCATTACACGATCCGTTGGTGAAAAAAAAAAAAAATCGATCCTTTTATTCCCCGCGCTTCAATCCACCGCCACTTTCTCGCGCACGATCGCGGCCAAAACCGACCGGCATACGGGACCGTGGACATCCGCTGATATACCGGATATCGTTATAACACCGACCATCACCGGCCATCATCTGCACCATCGCCGATCACGTGGCTTGCTCGACGGCGACGCTGTACGACAATGTTCACGCCGCGCCGCTGTGCGGCTCCGGCGTGGGCCACCCTGGCTCTGTTACGCCGATGGGGACAGCTACCGGAGCGGGGAATTCCACCGGGGTGACCTGGTGGGCCATGATGAACGGATCCCTCTACGAGGACAGCCCACCACCGGTCCCGCCAACAGCCTCGAGCCTTATCTCCGTTCAGCAGCAACAGCAACAACAGACCCCAACGCCCGCGTCTCACCAACAAGCGACCACACCAACCTCGCCTGGTGCACCGGCCTCCTCGGCCACGAGCGCGCCTCCGCCGCCAACGGCCAGCGCCAGCTCGACCTCGCCGAGCGCTTCCTCGGTGGCGAGCAACAGCGCGCCAGGACCTCTCCACATACCCGCCAAGAGGTTGACCGCGACACCGGCCGCTTCCTACGGAGAGGTCGGCTGCGTGGATTCCGCCGCCGCGCCCGCCGCTGGACCAGCGGGCGTCATCCGTCATTCCCACTCATCCTCGGCCGGATCTCAAGGCGGCTGGAGTTACAGCCCTCATCATCCACAAGAATCTCACTATTCGTCAGCGGCCGATTCCTTGAACCATCATCAAACGTACGGGGGTAATAACCCCCCGACGTATTACAATCTGGCGGCCGATCCTACCTCCACTTCCGGCTCCTCCAGGGACAACCGGAAGGCGGGCACGCTCAGCTTCTGGTCGCCAGCGGCGGCGACGGCGGGCTCGGCCACGGCCGGGTCCACATCCGATTACAAGTCCTACAATTCGGCTGGAGTCGCGACCACGAGCTCCTCGACGGGAGCAGGTTCCTCTTCCGCGGCCACGGGGGCCGCGGATCCGGCCGTCTCTTCCTGTCATCAGAGCTTCTCCCAGAGTTGGTGCAATTACGCGCCGTACACCACGGCCAGGCATCACCATCCGGTTGACACGGCCGGTCATCATCATCCACATTCGCAGGCAGGGGTACCATATTTGACGCCGTCCGCGGCGGACGACCGAGGAAGAGTCACTGCCGCCATGGTCGCCGCAGAAGGCGCCTTCCCTCACGATGGATACGGGGGCCTCAGGAATTACGGGGCGCCCGAACCTGTCACGTCCAGCCCGTACCCACCTCCAGGTAAGCATCGACTCTCGCTTGGTTTTTTTCTATTCACTTGGTTTTGATAGTGGTATTTCTATCGAGATGTTAATGTGTATTTTGTAATGCGGATTTTTTTAATGAAAAGAGTTGCCACTTTTTTTTTAAAAGTAGTCTTGGATTAATATGAAAAATAATTAGTTTCTTAAATTTGTAATAATATTCTAATATCTTTTGAACGAGATATTAAAATAATTGCAAATATAAAATTTATGTATTATTTTTTTATATTTAATTTTGAAATACTAAAAAGTATGTTAAGGAATTTATAAATTCCAATGTTTTATTTAATTTAAAATAATTTAAAATAAAAAAATAATATGCTATTGTAGGATTAATAAAGCGGGAATCCTGAGCGGGATGGTTCTAATAAATTTGTTTTTTTTTTGTACGCGCAAGGTCATCGCATTGTACGTGCTCCGGCGAATTCACAGGGAAACGAAACGTTGCTGAAAGTCACGAGATCGTGATGTGAATTTCTTCTAGCTTGACCTTGAAACGAGTTAAATAGGCAGAGAGTAAAAAAAAAAAAAAGAATGAATGCGGGATAAAAAATCGAAAATCGCGAAGATCCTGACCTGTCACACCAACGATCCAGTCATCGTTCATTCACGTTCTATTTGGTCATTCTCTTTCGCCTCCCCACCCAAAGTCCTTTTCTCGAGACCCTGGAACCCATGAAACGTCGCATGAGCAACAACGAACCACGGCAGGTTTATTGGCGGCCGTAACTCGTAAACTCTGGCGTGCGCCTCCGATCAGCTGATCCGTTCCATGACCCGTGCAGCCGTTCATTCTTCTACTAACGGCCGTTCCCTCGCTTTCCTTCTCGCAAACGCTGTCCCCGTCACTCCATCCCTCTCTCCATTTCTCTCATCCCAGGCTTCAACTTCGTTTCAATACTTTTTTATCCATCTAGTTGACCCCTGGTTCGGTTACTTACATAACCAATTCGAATTCTGTTCACTGCTAACAGACACAAGCAAACGTTCACTTGACTTCATGACTTTAGACTTTTCATCGTCAAAACATCTCTAATAGAGAAGATTAGCTAGGCTTACCGCGACGAATTTTCGATCAGAAATCATAGAGTTTGAAAAAGAGAAGCATGCATTTGGAATCGTAAAGAATAGAAAAATACGAGACACGGTGGCTGCTCATACGGACACGCTCGACGATAAACGAGATAAAGTTTGCGTGATTCTCTTAGCCCCGAAGTTAATCGTGGTAGGGAGGTGCACGCGCAGGCGTGCATTCTATACAAAGTAACCGAATACGAGCGCCACGTATAGTTTAACCGTTCCCCAATAGATGGCAGCTCCATTATCTTTGTTCGTTCGTCTGGTGTTCCGAAACCATGCTGTTCATACGGTATCGCGTCCAAATATTTCTCCGGCCAAACGTTTATTTATGTGATTTTCAACGACAAGTATCGAAGACAGCTGCCGCCGTTCACGATTCATCGTTTGCGAGCAGATAGGCATCTTCCTGGATGAAAAACATCGAAACGAGGACCGGTTACAGAGAAACGTTGGATGCCCGTCATTTAAAAGCCAGTTTGCTACTTTAAATGAGGTCCAACGTTTTGTGTTTTTAATTTATCGCGCGCTTCCTGCGTTTCTTAGCGGTCTCTAATTAGCGTCACTTCAGATTATTGAATAACCATGATCGTTAACCTTAAATTATTCTCATTATTTTATTTTTCCAGTTTTGATCGTTAAAATTTTAAATTCGTTTTCGGAAACGAACTTTTGTTAAATTAATATTTAAATGATCAGGAAGAAAGATTATCAATACTGATACATCATTAATAATGATTGTCAAGAGTCTGTTATAACATGCTCGTTGCTGGCAACACGCCGACCACAAATCGATACATACGTCATTTATTCCGCAGTTTCGTGGCACACGTCCCTTGTATGTATTGACATTCGTGAGAATTCTGACCTTTGTCAAATAATTTGCATACTCTAGCGTTTTAGTGGGCAATAAATTTCTGACGCTTAAGCAATCGTGCCACGTTATTTTACGAAACGAGACGAGACGAATGTTGCGGAAGGGCAACAGTAATAGGGGTATGGGTAAAGTAATAGTGGGTAAAAATAAGGCAAAAGTAAGGGTGAGAGATATAGAAGAAGGGAAGACTAGAGAGTGGATATTACATGATCTAATAAGGATAGAAGAGAAGAAATTCAAACTAACTTCTAGATTTTTTATTTTATTTTTTATGATCCATTTACCGTTTAATCAAATGTTTAGTAGATAAATCTATATGATCGAAAAAAATAAAAAATAAATTTTTCAAAAAACAATAATAAGGAAAATTTTAAAACTGTCTAGCATTTTGAATTTATTTAAAAATTTTAGATAAATCATATTATTTTTTTGTAAAACTCATATGGAATTTTTTTAACTTAATTTATTATAATTTTTTTAACTTAATTCAATTATAATTAAATATATATATTATAATTAAATATAATTAATAAAAATATTATATAAATTTAAATATTTCAATGAATATTAGATAGAAAATTTTAAGAATGAATCTCTTTAAGAAAACTCTTCTTTGAAAAAACCAAGATGTTCAGTAAGAAATAACAATTTTGAGGAGGATACGTATCAGCATACGTAATACGTTGCATACATAACAATGTCCATGAGGTTTAATATGGGGAATAGCAGGTGGGAGAAGGCAATTTGGTTGCGCTTATGACCGTGTAATGTTGCCAGACTCACGAAGCTGTTGCGTTTCGTGGCTATGCAACAATTCCTCGCCATCGTTGTTCGTACTTAGGTTAAAGATAGACGGGCAAGTGCCGACTGCTTTCGTAATCCCTTCGTTTCGCACGCTACGTGCGATCTCTTTCAAAAAGATGATATTTATATCTTGTTTTAACGTTAGAACTAGAAAAATAAATAAATATCGATGTTATTTTAACAAAAAAATTTCTACATTTTTAATAAATGTAAATAAAAATAAAAATTAAAAATCAATTTAAGTGAATAGTCCTTAAATAGTTTTAATATTAATATTAGAAATCAAATTATAATTTATAAAATTATTTTATAAAAATATTTTTGATAAATTAATATTATAATATAATAATAATAAAGATATATAAATACAAATACCATCTATTTATTTTCATATATATCATTTTTAATTCATTTATATCTAAAATATTAATTATTATGTTGAATCTTAATTACAATTTTAATTTAAACAATTTTTAATATTGGCTACTCTTTCTAATTTAACCTAAAATAGAATTTTCTCGTCCTTTTTTTTATTCAACAAATAATAAAAATTTATAATTAGTTAAGCTAATCTCTTGAAATCATAAAAGAGAAAAATTCTAGAGCAAGAAACCGAGCCACGAATCATAGGATTCTCGAATCATTTACAAACACGGAACATACTAACAGTTCCGTGTTTCAGATTCCCGTTTCATGTTTTCTGTACGGTTAGTACATTCGGTCCAATTATATCATATCGGCTGGTCGTCGCGACGCAACATGACGAACCCTTCGCTACATGCGTCACGCGCGCGCATATACATACACGTAATCTGTAACATTAAGAACCCGCTTTGAGTATAAATTTCTCGATCTCGTGACCTCGCGTTCTTTTTCTCTAAAAAAATTCTAATAAATTCTGTAAGGAAACACAATCTTTTTAATAGCTTTTTTTTTATTTTTAGGAAAATTGTCGATATCATTTTCTTAAAAATGAAATTATGATTTGTATTGATTTTCGTTGTAGTAAAAATATTTTATTCTTTAAAAAAAAAATTGAATGTTATAAGATTTAGATATTTTTAAATAGAAATTTGAATTTTTATTTCTAGTAGGATATATTATTGTTGAAAAAACTTCACTAAATGTTTAAAGAAAATAGATTAGTTTCTATGTATTGATCCCAGACTAACAGTATAAATTCAAGATATTAGAATTTATAGTTCGCATAAATATAAATTTCTAATGCAAAACATTGAATATAATTCTACTTGTTTTTCCTTCGGAGCGCATTCATATAAAAAGAAATTTTGAAACTGTTTATAAATTACAATTATAGACTTTAATAAATTTTTTATTTACAATATTGATATATGGTAATTAATATGTACAATCAAGTGTGTTACGCTTATCGATTCAAAGGATTTTCAAAGAAAACCCTTGAAAGAAAAAAAAAATTTCCTAAGGACAAATCTGAAGACAGTATATCGATTTGTTTCAATTGTAACACGTAACAAGTGTAAATAGAAATTTCATTTGGGACAAAACCTAACGGTACTAGTTACGCACCGATACATCAACTAATGAACCGATGTATTTGCTCTCGATTCTGTTGACTTGTACAAATCTAATAATTCCCTAAGTCGCGAGAAAAGAAACAGGTTTGGTTAGTTTCCTCGTTCGAATCTGTTCGATCACATAATCGCATCGTACCTGTTTCCATATCTTGTATATTTATTTCTATACAAATAATTTACTTGTAAAAATATAATATTATATGTAAAATATTATACGACTGTTTATTAATTTTTAATTGATATTATGGAATCCTTGAATAAAACATCAGAATTTTATTTAAATTCAAATTGTCGATAAAAAAGTGACCGATTTATTTGTTCGTAATATATAACCTATACAGTCGATAAGCGTAATCTCACTATTGATGCAAAATTTAATCATAAGATGTATTTCTAGTTAGCACACTAGGTTGTTTGTTATCGGCAAACTAATTGTGTTAAGTGATGTGGGGTTCCTCCCCATCTTCGTTGTTTCCCGCAGGTTCCCTGGCGGGAGTCGGCGTAGGTGTCGGCGTAGCTGGTATGGGCGTCGGTTGTGGAAGCTCGAATCCATTGGAATGGACTGGCCAAGTGACAGTACGGAAGAAACGCAAACCGTATTCCAAATTCCAGACACTTGAACTAGAAAAGGAATTTCTATTCAACGCTTACGTGTCGAAGCAGAAACGGTGGGAACTCGCGCGAAATCTGAATCTGACCGAGCGACAGGTGAAGATATGGTTTCAAAATCGACGGATGAAAAATAAAAAAAATAGTCAACGGCAGCAGCAGAATAATAACAATAACAACAGCAGCGCCAATAATGCAAATCACCACGCGGCGACCGGTAGTCACCACCATCCGAGCGCCGCGCATGCGCCACCCTCGAGTCATCACGTGGTCGCGCAGGCGCACCACGCAAATGGTTCCGCGAAGCATCATCAGTGACCCGTGGCCTTCTCTGGGGTCGTCTTCGGCCATCCACACTCTAATCACAGCTCTACAAACGGTTGCACAGGAACTGGGATCGGGACCGGGACAGGGACAGGGACTGGGAACGCCGCTACCCATTCCAACAGCCACGCGAGCCTGGTTACAGGTCACAGCCACACGCTTCACGCGCCTCAACCTCAAACACCTCTACCGACCCACGCCGCCGGTGCCTCGAGCACCGTCACGCCCCCCACCGCCGTCGTTCATCCACACATTCACGCACACGCTCATCATCATCAGTTGGCGCACGTGGCTCAGCAGTATCCTGCGCTTCTTCATCAGACGCCTCATGGCCTGGCTGCCTGAACTTTCAGGTTTTTTGACACCCCAGAGAAATCGAAGGAGTCGACGAATCATCCATACGGTCGATTCGCAATGCAGCAATTTCTCATCAGTCCTCGTAGTCGTCGTCATTGTCATTTGAATAATCGGCATCCACGACAGAACGTCGGATAGATAGACACGTAATCCACATACACATACACACACACATACATACACTTATCGAACTTTGTTCAGCAGCTATTCAAAGACTGCCTATCACTTGTAAGAAGAGATAATGTTTCCGCGAGTAGTATATTATTATTATTATTATTATTATTATTATTATTATTATTATTATTATTATTATTATTATTATTAATTATTATTATTATTATTATTATTATTATTAATTTTATTATTATATTTATTATTATTATTATTATTTTATTATTATTATTATTATTATTATTATTATTATATTAGTATTATTATCATTAATTTTATTATTATTAATTATTATCATTATTGTTATTGTTATTATTATTATTATTAATTTTATTATTATTTTTATTATTATTATTCTTATTCTTATTCTTATTATTATTATTAATTATTATTGTTATTATTATTATTATTATTATTATTATTATTATTAATATTATTATTATTATTATTATTATTATTATTATTATTATTATTATTATTATTATTATTATTATTATTATCGGTCATCGTCATCCCTATCGTCATCCATGGTTATTATTCAACAGAAGATAATATTGTTGTATAGAATGTGCGTGATTTATTGCGGCGTCCTTGGAACGTCAACCAACCAGACTCTTTTTTTCCCGCGTGTCGGTATATCAGGTGTCGGTCTTCTTCGAGTAGTGCGCATGTCGTATGCGGCACCGAACAATCTGTCCAATTCGTAATTCGGTAGTAATTTCCTCCAATTATATATATATATATATATATATATTATATATATAGTGAAGCAAATTAGTGTCACTTAGTGTCTGTCCTAAGCAGCCCCCTCCCCTTTACCTTTATTCCAATCTGGACGAACGATTTCTGTCCTCGTTACTCTCTTTCCTTTTCAATATCGGTCTGTATCACTTGCTCGACCATAAGTTTACTTTGTCTTGCACTGTTCAGCTCAATCAGAATCAGAAGAGAATTTAACTAAAACATCTTGAATCTTTGGCGATTACGCGGAAGTCCAGTCCAAGAAAACGACGACATTGGTTCCCATTGCTACGATATTCGTCCGGATCGGCCGAAGAGAACCGCTTCTTAGGGGTAAGTGTATCGAGGCGAAAAAAAGCGCGCGATTTTTAAAATTACGATCGATGTTGTTCGCGCGAATTCAATTCTATTTGTTCGATATTTGTTGAGAGATTGAAAAGTTTTTTTTTTTTTGTTAAATTTTACGTTTATTTGTTTGACGAACGTGAAACGTTGATCGCTACTGTCTGTGATTTCGCGGAAAGTACTAATATTTGCATATAAAAACGTATATTAGTTTTTTTTTTGTCGCGAGACGAGTCTGATCACGACGAATTAGTCGTTCTATAGGATCCAATCGATTTTTATTTTGAATTCCAGCTGAACAGTGAGACGTAAACCGATTTTCGATTTTGTACTATCCAACGTGCGCAAGTTCGCTGACGAGTTGCAACGGGATGAAATGATTTAGATCTTTGTAGATAATCTTCTATACTCATTATAATTCGATGTTTCATCCTGTGTGAGATCGTCAGTCGAAAAATCGTTAATAACGAAATCAGAGAAGATCAAAATGAGAAATTAGAACTGGGTTCTTCCTAATCTTCGACAAAACGATTTGTGACAAATAACAAAGTGGACTCGCTCATTTTCGCAAAGTGTTTTCGTCGAAGACACACGTCTAAGATGGACCTGGTCCAAAGCAACGATGCGTTCGGAGAATTAGTCTAATTATGTCCAGAATGTTGTATTCATTGCCTACCAAGGATCGCAAACTAGTACCTATAATTCTTATGTTATATGTAAAAAAAAAAAATCGATTTAGATTTTAAAAGCATACCTAGTGGACTGTCGAGTGGAATACCACTCTGAGACTGAGGTTAGGATCTCAGTCGTGGAATGAATGATATTGTGAATCGAATTCTTATCGTTTCAAATTCAATTTTTCGACGAGAAAAAAAACAATTCAATTGTTATTTATTTGTTAAGTGTGAAATTATTTGTTTTGCTTGGAAAAAATTCCAAATATATGTGATTAATCCAGAATTCAAATTCGATCACTTTCCTCGTTTGAAATGGCATTCGTCTTTGGATCTGGTTATAGTAACATTGTTGACAAATTGAAAAAAATTCGAAATTCGTTCGCGAGACTGGAAAAAATTTACATAATAAAATTGATGATTAGTTTCTCTTTTCAGATTCGAGGATGAATGTTATCCCTACGAACGAGATCCTAAATGCGGTCATAATCTATAAGAAACAAATAAGGGTTCACCTTTTAATCGGTACGTCAGTGAGTAAGTAGGTAATTTAATCGGATGTTAAATGAAAATAAATATCCCGGATCTCTATTCTCTAAGGTGCAACATTATCTAAATTATAAGGGCCGCTGAATGAGTATGCATGCCTAAGGTATATTATATAACATATACGCGTATTTCTCGAATGTGTGTGAGTGCGCGCCCGCGCTCATGCGTTTACATCCATATGCACGTGCAATATTGATTAAAAATTTGAAATCACTAATTTATATCTATAAAAATATTTAAGAAAAAAAAAATAGATTAAAATATTCTTTTGCCAAAAATTTGTTGATAAATTAAATAAGATTTAAATATTTGAAAAATAGATTAGAAAATTTTTTCGTTACGAATCTATTAGGATCAAGTGAAATTGTTATCCGTAACGTTGAATTAAGAGTAAAATTAAAATTACAATTGAATTGAAATGTGATTCCAAATTTTTGATCGATAATATATGTGAAGTATTTGAAAAGATGTAAGTGTCATCGGAAGAAAAATCAATAAAGAGAAAGTGGTATAGGATTGGAATTTCTTAAAAGCGTAGACGCGCATGCGCGCGTGTTTGTGCACTCATGGGCGCATCAGAAGAGAGAGCACGCAGCGCGTAAGTGTGAGAGAGACAGAGAGCGAGCGCGAGAAAGAGTGAAAGAGAACGAAAAGAATTATCTGAAATAACGTTATACGTAACGATAAATAGAAAATCATTTATCGTTTATTTATTTATCATTATCATATTATTGTGAAACTTGACGTGAAACGGGAGGAAACAACGAAACAGCAAGATATGTATTGTAATAATTAGACTTTAACTTTTAAAATGGAGACAATGAGACAGAAACGTAAGTATAAATATTCACAAACATTCGTCTCAAGTACGAAAAAACATACACGAAATGAATTATAATTTCGAATCGGTAGCAATTCGTTTCGTTGATCATCATATTTCTTTTAAAAACTTAATTTAAAGATTAGATAAAGAAATTAGATAAATTTAAATACAAATTATTTTTTCGTTCTTTTTATATTAAAAGCACAAATGTGTAATTCGACAAATTAGTGGAATTTTACACTTCAAAATATATTAAGACAATTACAATAGTGTTTGTTTTAGTGTCCAGACTTTTCTCGCTTTAGCATCCATCGTTATCTCCAACAATTCTTGGAAGCGAGGTTCGAGCGTGCTTAACGAGGTAACTTTATCTGAATCAGACTCATTTCTTTCGCTTGGTTGAATTCGCACAAGTTAGCTCCTCCGTTTGAACGTATGGACTGTGGACATTAAAGCGGCCACTACAGTATTAATCTCAAAATTTTTGCAATTTATTTAGTTTCGAGTCCAATTTCACTACAAAATAATAATTTCATAGTAATATAAATTCAAAGATAGAAAATTTGCACATTACGATTTACTGAAAAAATAAAAATTTAACAAAATATCCATTGCATAATTACTTCATTGTGCTTTATTTTTTTTTATTCAAATGTGTCTATGAAATGAGTTGTTAACGATGTCGAATGTAATTCGAATAAACACACTGTGAGATTAGGTCTCGGAATAAACGATATAATAGATACCGCCGCGACTACTATTAAATACGATTAATTATATAACGATGATAAAGTATCGAATACACAAGTAAAATAAGTAAGATTAAAATTGGAGACACGAGAAACGAAACTGAACAGAAGTATCGAGAAAGGAAAAGGGGATATAGGGAAATTTTGTGAAGATTAAAGTTAAAATCAGTACATCATTCGGATTCTCAACATGGATTATTATCAATAATAGCGATTAGTTGCTAATTGTCTTGCCGCTGACGATCTTCAATGCGAATATTACGATGATTAATATTATACCACGATTGATTATATTATATTATTATATTAATTATTATTATTTTTATTATTATTATTTTATTATTATTATTATTATTATTATTATTATTATTATTATTATTATTATTATTATTATTGTGAGCGTCACGTTAATATTATGTTATTGTTTTTATTGTGTGTTTTTTTGTATGTACCTATCAGTCTATTACGATTATGATATTATCATCATTATCATCATTATTATCATCAACATTATTATTATTTATTAATTGATATTATTATTATTATTTATTAATTATTATTATTATTATTTTTATTTTTATTATTATTATTATCTTTATTATCATCATTATCATCATCATCATCATCATCATCATCATCATCAT